TCGAATATGTGTTTAAGAATTTAATGAAATCTTGCCACGGAAAATTCTCAAGGCTAGAAAACATCTTAAACCATCGTGGAAAATTCTTAAGGCTAGAAAAAATCTTGCCATGGAAAAAGTATGCATTTGAAAAAGTTCAAAGCATACAAGATGACAAATTGAGACTAATTTTTAAAAAATCCATAAAAATAGATAAATATGATAAAAGAGGCAAGTTTAAGATCAAGGAAGGAAGATGACAATGTCTCTCCTCTGTCTCTATGATGGCTATAGTGATGTTTGTGCATATGACTGTTTTCTTATTTCACTGGAGAAACATATTTCACACGGAGTGGTGTGAATCAAACCCATGTTTTATAACTGAAATAGCGATATTGATGCAACCCTACAAACCAAATTGGTTCTCAAATCAAAATATACAACTAATAGGTCTCTCTTTGTTTCTCATATCGACGAGGATCGGATTTTGACATTGTTGCACTCAGGGGTTGAAACACAAGCATAAGAGACTAGTAGCCTACATAGACAGCGACATTCACTATGTAACAATCTTCGTTTTTATCACCCATTTCTTCAACTTTAACGCCGCTTGAGCAAATCAGTCCTCCATCCACCACCTCCACATTCATAATCCTCCCACTTCCAAAGACACACAACAATGGTTAAAAGACCGAATGGTTGTGGAAACATCGGTAGATAAATCCGACTCCAAGCTTTTAAGCAAATCAGTTGAGAGAGATGTTCCTTCAATACTATATGATCAGATAAGTAAATGCTAAATGTTGGTTTCTATCTGAATACTACATCAAATCTCAATCTAACCTCATATCTAGTACAAAGCAAAATTTCAACTTCACAACAATACTTGGACCAAAGAACTCAAGTATCTTCCCAAATGACAACAAAGAAGTCAAGTTTCTTCTCAAATTGTTTATGGAGGTTAAAGAGAACTTACTATGGGAAGATAGACTTAACCTTGTCAAGATCCAGTTGCTGGTGAAGAGAATGAGGCACTCCAAGCTTAATCTGTAACTTCATTTCTTCAAACGAAACTCCAGGAATCGAACCTTCAACATATTCAATCCCACTAAGTCTTCAGATTTAAACCCAACACAAGAACAATGTATATCGTTTCAGAACAAGTATATCTATCTATAAAGAGGAGAATTCTATTCTATTGTACCTCTCCTAAATGCAGGAATCGAATTCGAAGAAATCGCATTCTTACAAGCACGCATCGCCGCAGATGTAACGTCTTGCCTGTTTTCCGATTTTCAAGTCTCGACATGAGTATCGATTAAGACGCAATTGCTTGGATGATAAAATTGGAAAATCGCAAAAATTGACGTACCCGTGCTGATCGTAACCCACACCCATCTCAACGAACAATAGCTTCATCGTACAGTTGGGAACACCGCCGGTAATTGTTTCCGCTGTCGTAGTCTCCATGGCGCCTCTCGCCGTGATTTTGATCGGGCGTGAGATCTGAGGAAACTGGTGGAGAGAGGACGGTTTACTTCGGGAAGAGAGAGAAAGTGGCGGTGACGAAGAGAACGGAGATTGACGGAGACGATGATCGGAGCAGATGAGAATCGAAGTGGAAAACGAGGAAAGAGACATTGAATTGGGATTAGTAGAGTATATTTACTCAAATGTGACCTTGCTCTTGGGTTTTTATTTTTTATTTTGTTTGGGTCCTATACTTTTTTTTTAAATTCAACCATAAAATTTTGGGTTAATTTGTTTTATAATAAAAAAAAAGCAAATTTTATGGATTAATTGCTCAATTAATAATTTTTTTAAGTTTATAGGACCAATTAACCCTGAATTTTTTCTTTGTATTTTCCATAAGATAACAACATTAACAAACGATTTTGTCACAGTAGACAAAACAAACAAAAAATGAATTACAAGAGGTTTTACTTATTTCCGAATTAGAGGTGAACATTAGGATGTCTGTTCAGATTCGGTTAGAATTTTTTGGGTTTTAGGGTTTTCAGTAACAAGCTAATGAGTCTTTGTTTTCGGGTCGAATTCGATTTAGGTTTTTTTTATGAAAGATGAGTCTTTGAAACATCAAAATACAAGCTGGTAGAGCATATGTGTAGCTGCTCTAACAAAATAATTAAAGTAATGTGGCAAAGCAGCTTGCTAACGTTAGCAGTTCAAGAGAAAAGAAAAGTAGCAGAAACTTTTCTACAGAAAAAGTTGTGATAACTCTGTTAAACGGTAGCAAAAATGTGTATAAGACAAATGATTTGTCTTTGATCTTGTTTAGAATATGAATCTTCGGTGATAAACTAAGAGTATACTTAGAGCATCATCAACGCAGATGCTTAACCAAATGTTTAGGATTATTAGTCAATAAATTAAATAAAAATTAGCTGATGTAAGAAGCAATCGATGCTTAATTGAGCAATTTAAGCTGCGCTTCTTCACTGCCACGTGGCAACGTGGCATTGGACAGAGTCACAAGACCTTGGACACTAGTGTTGGGGTTTTTGCGATTGGAATCTTGTAATGATCAAAATAAAGAAAAACCCATCAAAATTTATTGGCAAAATAAAAAAAAATACAAACTACACTTTCTCTCATTCGCATCTTTGTCTTTCATTTTTTTTTTATTGGCAAACACAAGTTTAGAACAATTTTTTTTTCCTCTC